TGCCCCATTTGGGTCACCATAAGAGAAATGTGGCTTCCTCTAGAGAGAAAGGCAGAGCCTCGTCAGTATCTGCAAGGCTTCCCCTTAGAGAGAAGAGAACCTCTTATGGAGAGAAACGTCCCGATGTGCCTCTCGTAAATTGAGAGGCTGGTTTCTTGTAGAGAAACAATTCCCATGGACATTTTGGGTGGTTTCCCTTTTAGTGAGAGAAAGTCTCAGTTGCTCTCCAGGTTCTCCTTCTGGACAGTGGTTTAGCTGTGGAATGGAGATGGTCTCTTCATGGACAGTAGTTTAACTGTGAAATAGAGATGAGAGATCGGCGTGTCTTATTAATAGGGAGAGCAAGTCTAAAAAGGTTTACTTAATTGGATTTTGTTAAGGGTTATAGAGATAACTCTACGTCCCAAAATATGTCATGTAACTTTCATTTATATAATGGATTTCAGTTTGTAGTGCCCGTAGATGTAGCTCTCATGAGGTTAACGACGCAAATGTGTTCTTGTGGAGCGTGCATTTCATGTTTTATTTCTCATACTATGGCTCATGATCTCTCCTATTTTGTTTTTAGCAGAATAAGTACACAATCTTAGTGGGATCCAACTTTTGGGATTATTGTTTATGCATCTAAGAGGGTTCTTAAATCCTAACAAGTGGTATTAGAGCTCATGATTCAGTACATGGCTAGTGTTTGTGCATTTGGTTGAAGAAAAGCACATGACAAAGTATGTAAGCGTTTTATGTGGAGAAATATGATGGCCAACACAATCGTTTCAGCAAGAATAATGAAGGAATTTATTAGGTAAAAGATGAAGAATTCATGAAACTATCCAATGGATGATGGCATGGTGAGCAGGTGATTTTGATATCAATGTAGAGATTGTTGGATATGGGGATTATCTAAAATCACCAACATAAAGAAATCTCATATTATGTGGGATTAAGATTGATAGTGATAAGTTTCATAAAGAAAATCCAATTCCAAAAGGATTAGGACTCTAGATATATCTCCTGGTTCTTGAGATATATGTAATATTTATAGGAAGTTTTCTATTTGGTATGGACTCCTAGGGTGAAAATGCAGAGAATTTATGTGTCATGTTTAAGTCATCATATGGGAAATGTGGCTTCCTTTAGAGAGAGACGCAGGGTCTCTTCAATATCGACAAGGCTTCCCCTAAGTGAGAAGAGAGCTTCATATCAAGAGAAATGCCATGATGTGCCTCATGTAGATTGAGTGACTGATTTTTTGTAGAGAAGCGTTCCCATCGAGATTTTGAGCGGTTTCCCTTTTACTAAGAGAAAGTCTCGATTGCTCTCAAGGTTCTCCTGCTGGACAATGGTTTAGCTGTGGAATAGAGATAGTTTCTTCCTAGACAGTAGTTTAACTATGGAATAGAGATGAGAGATCGGCAGGTCTTGTTTATCGAGAAAGCGGGTCTAAAAAGGTTTACTCGACTTGGTTTTGTCGATATAAAGGTAACTCTATGTCCCAATATCTATAATGTAACTTTCATTGATTTAATAGATTTCAGTTTGTCGTGCTCGTAGATGCAGTCCTCTTGGTGTGAACCACGTAAATCTTTGTGTTCTTGTGGTGTGTGTGGTTCATGCTTTATTTCTCATACTATAGCTCGTACTCTTTCCTATTTTGTTTCTAACTGGATAAACATACGATCTTACTGGATACAACTTTTGGGATTCATGTTTCCACATCTAAGAGGATTCTTAAATCCTATTAAATGGGGTATCAGAGCGCATGGTTTAGTACATGGCTAGTGTTTGTACATTCAGTTGAAGAAAAACACATGGTGCGAGCATTTTATTTGAGAGGGAGATATATGATGACAAGCATAATCTTTTTAATAAGAATGATGAAGGAATTTATTTGGCAAAATATGGATAATTCATAAAGCTATTCAATGGATGTTGGCATCGTAAGCAGGTGATTTAAATCTCAAGGCGGAGATTGTTGGATATGGTGATTATCCAAAATCACCCACATTAGGAAATCCCATATTGCATAGGATTGAAATTAATATTGATGAGTTTCACAAAGGAAATAGAATTCCAAAAGGATTAGGAGTGTATATATATCTCTTGGTTCTTGAGTTATATGTAATACTTATAGGAAATTTCCTATTTGGTGTAGACTCCTAACCTTATATTTAAGAGATGAAAGTGCAGAGAATTTGTGTGCCCTATTTGGGTCACCATATGGGAAAGGTAGCTTCCTTTAGAGAGAGAGGTAGGGCCTCGTCTGCATCGACGAGAAATGTGGCTTCCTATAGAGAGAGGCAGGGCCTCGTCAGCATCGACAATGCTTCCCCTTCGAGAGAAGAGAGGTTTCTATGGAGAGAAACACCCCGATGTGCCTCTTGTAGATTGAGAATCTGGTTTCTTGTAGTGAAGAGGTTGTTGGGTTTATATGGCCTTTAAATGCCTTATGAGTTATTGTGAGGAGACATTTGATATAGTGGATCATAAACTCAGTGGGAGTGTGGTCATTCGTGGACCATACCATGCAAATGATGTTTGCAGATACCGAACTATATTTGACGATCTAAGCCAGTCGGTTGGAAAAAACTCATGTTACTTGGGCATAGTGAATAAACCGAGAAGGGTTCTAATTGTTCATCCCTTGATGAGGTCGGAGTATATGCCCAGATGAATGAGCCGAGGGATTGTGTGATCTTTGTGTGTGAAAGTAGCCTACGGAAACAAGGACCAAAGCCTCATCCATATACTATCACACAACATGCATATTGATATACCGTTTCGAGAAAGCAAATAAGCCACATTTTTTGGTGAAGCGTTTGCATGTGCGAGAGATACCCCTATGCGTCATAGAGTTGTGGTAGCATTAGGTCTAAGTGACATTGACTAGTTTCTAGGGGAGAACCTGAAATCTACAGATAGAGATTGCGACCCCTTAACTCATCGACCAAACTTTGGTGACGATCTAATGAGCTTCTGCTCGGACTGTGGGTCATGGGCAACACTGGGTCGGCATGATAAAACAAGTGCAGTTTGTAGTTCAAAATTGAATGTAGAGTGCCTCATTATTGATTTAATTCCTTGACCATAAAGATCATTTTCCCATCAAATTAATTTAATTATGTTTATTTTATGGTATATATTATCTTAGAATTATTATTTCATTTTTTATAAACCCCTAATTATTTTATTTATAAGATTTGGGTTTATAAAATTAAATATATTGATTTTTAATGATTTAAATATTCAAATAATATTTTAAA